CAGACTTTTCTAGGTCCTACCCTGTCTACCACACCTAATTCATACTGTACTGTAGTTATCTATGGTAATAGCTCCTTTTCTGAAATAAGTCCTCTATCTAAACTCTCTTACTTAGGCAGTCAGGAGAGAGGCAAAAAAAGAAACACTTCTTGAGTCCTCCGTTTCTTAAAAATAATCAGCCTAAAATAGTTCACATGCCAAAGAGACAGTTTGGGGTGGCAAATTTTGCTCCCCTACACTGCAAAATAATTTTTCTTTTACAAACAGGTCATGATCTGTTCATAGAGATGTGGGTTTTCCTATTCATAATCAGTACCCGCAAAACCACGTGAAAGCTGCCCAGGAATGTCTGATGTCATCACATCTAAAAAAATTAATTAGAGACAAGACTTTAGCACAGAGAAATGGCAGGCCACATCTTCAAGTCTTTTTGAGACACAAATGTAACTGTAAATACTAAGAGTCTATAAAAAAGTAATGAATCAATTAGAGATAAAATTCCGTTGCATTAAGATAAATTCTTCATGATGGACCCAGTTAATCACATTTTATTCTCTGAATTCCTACTTGGAGCCTACCCCTGTGCAATAACAGTCTATGTGAATTACACAGTGCTTTAAGCAAACTTCTCTACAAAGGGCCAGCCAGTAAATATTTTAGGCTTGTTGAATATATGATCTCTGTTGCAACTACTCAACTCTGCTGTTGTAAAGTATGTTGCAGAAATAGCCACAGACTATTACCTTGTACAAAAACAGGTAAGTATAGCTGTGTTTCAGTAAACTTTATTTACAAAAACCAGTGGTGGGCCAGATTTGGCCCATGGGCCACAGTTTGCCAACTCCCGCTTTAAAGTTTTTTTCAAACTACTTTACACAGTTATCTCTTTTGAGTTCTGAGAGGGGACACAGTATATGTGAGCTCCATTTTACAGGTAAGGAAACCAACTCAGAAAAGATAAGGGGTCTGCCCACGGTCACACAGGTAAGAAGGGACAAACCCAGCCACGTTCTGGGTGTTCTAATTCCACATCTAGTGCTCCGTGACCACTGTACCTCGCCAGTGACACAAAAGAAGTATAGTCCCTGCCCAAGATAAATCAGGCAGGGCCGACACGTAGTCTTGTTCTTTTGTTCCAGCTGCCAAGAGCCTGGGATTGATCATGTTTCCAATCCGATGCTTTTTATCATGCAGACAGACCATGGTGTGAGAAGCCTAGGTTTCTTTTCCAATTTTACCTCTGACAGCTTGGTGGGTTGTGGCAGGATGCCAGAGTTCTCTGGCAATCAGTCATCCCCTAAGAGGATTCTTTAGGTTCGTAGCACCTGTGAATGAGAATGTGGTTCTTACTTCTTTTGTTTCTTTTCCAGAGCCCCGTCTCTACCCTTATGTGAGTTAAGAGCTAAGTGTATGTGCCTAGCGTGAGTACAGTGTTTGGCACAGTGTAGGTGCTCAGTAAACATCTGAATTCACTGAACATCAGGGCAGGGACTCAAGGCATGGAACACTCAGGTGTCTCACCTGGCCATGCCCCTCAGTGTTCACCAGCCAGTTAGCACCCAAAGGCCTCATCTGGACTAGGAGCACGAGGGACACCCCATCATAAATGTCCCTCTTGCCCCGAACGTCTATCGCGAAGTCAAGGACAACCAATGTTCACAAGTGAAGGTGGAGGCTCTGAGTACTAATTTGCTGAGTATGAGTGAACCCTGACATGAAGAACGTGACAGAGGAGTCTAGCACCCTCTGGGGAGGCAAGGAAAGGACGTTCAGGCATGGGGGGAGGGGGTGTCTCTAGGCTGCACACTTGCATATCAGGTGCCCCGGTCAGCTTTTCCACATTCATTTGCATAGTCTTATGCTAATGGCCTGCTGCAGCACTGTCTACTTACAATAGTTAAAATTAATTTCCAAATACAACCAAGATGCATCTGGCCCTTTGCAGAGAGCTGTGGCAATCTGAGAACAAGCTGATTTCACCCACAACTTGTAACATACAGAGGACATATAAGAATCGCCAACTGCCCACATCTGGGTGTAGACTCTCCTTCAAGTGCCTTAGGAATACTTATTTAAAGGCAAGATATTTGTGTGTGTGGTTTCATTCTGAAATTTGGAGGGTGAGAGGATCTTGTGTTGGGCACTTTATCCTCTGAGCCCCACAAGGCACCAGGACTCGTTATGTGATGGGATGTTTTCGGGCATGGGGAGAGATCTGAGTGTGACCCAGCCCTTGGGAAGGAGGGCACGAGCCTGGGTCAGCTTCTGAAGCTGAGGGACCTGTTATTATTTGTCATGTCACAAGCTGTGAAGGATTGCCGCTCAGGCTTGAAGGGACAAAAACAGCAAGATTTAGCCTCTCTGTGGCTCTGTGTTTGTTTATAAGTGTAAATGTGGTGCAGGAAGCTTCGCCTGATTGTCCATATCAGTAAGCAACTCGCGGGAAAAACACAAGGCCCCAGTAACAGTGTTTGGATCCCTGTAACCCCGGTTGGGACGGGGCTGGGTCTTCCCCCAGGAAGCATACCTGCAACCGTGACATAGAAGAACAACAGGGAGTCAGGCTAACCTCAGAGAGAGGTAAGGGTTTGAGACAAACGGCATTCCGCTGGCGTTAATCCTGTGGGGCATGAAAACGGGTGTTAGACAGGTGAGGTTTCAGTGTGTGAATCACTCAGAGCAGAGCCCGCAGGGGAATCCAAGGACAAGGCCGTTTCGTGAACTGGTCCCTCACGGCGCTTGATGAGCTAAATACAAAACCAAGGGTAAGTGTTCAGGAACTTTTATAGCAATGGACCAAATAATTGTGTTTCTGTTGAATCTGAAAAGAATTTTTAAAGGAAGCCTTGTATTTTGTATATCTTTTTTTAAATTTCATTTTTCTAATAATTTATATTCATTAATTTGTGTGACAAGTTGAAGATAAAAGAATATAGCTACTTCGCTAGTGATAATTTGAGAAGCACCAGTTAGAAGCACCAGTGTCCTAGGTGGTAGGCAGTGGGTCAATAGACAGGCAAGGTGAGGGGAACTCAGTGAAGACCGGAAAGTCAAGGAAGGCTTCCTGGTGGAGGAGATAAAGTTGGACTTTGGAGGATGGGTAAGACCTTGACAAATGATGAGGACCTGCAGATCATCCTACCGCTGTGAGGGAGTACTTGTACTTGGCATAGACTTGATGGCAGACTGCTTTGAGTGCATATACAATCTGTCCCAAGCACTGTACTGGTGCAAATGAGAGCTGTTCGCATTGAGGGCTGAGAACTGTTATGGGGATCAGGGCCCTGGGTTCTGGATAGGGCTCGGTGAAATTTTCCCATGCAACCCTGGGAAGATCATTTGACCCCCACTAGGCTGGAAGAACCATAAAGGCAGGGACTGCCTCTGGGGAATGATGCCTACCTAGCTCAAGCCCACCAGATGACAAATTCCCAGTAAAATTTTTGATGAGCCAATGGATGAATGGGTTTTTGTTTTAATACTTAACAAATGAGTGGGGCTAGATAAGACTGGTGGGTTTCAAACTATAAAATGAGAAACCTTGCAAAGATGCACTGTGGTCCAACCTGCCTCTACCCTTGAGTTTCTATAGGATTTCATTTGAAGAAGGAACCCCACAGCTAAAATAATTTTGGGGAAATACTAGATTTGATGATTTTGAAAGCCTATTCTAGCTTCTGACATTTTCAGATTCTAAGTAGACAAGAATGCAAATAATAGAGGCCATAAAACCATTGACTTATGGAATCACCACTGCACAAAAATAGATGTAGGAGATGTAAGGAAGCACTAGAATATTGGGGTTGGTGGGGTCCCATTGGCTTGCAGAGCTCTTAACATGAAGCTTGTTGACGAGCTCCAGAAGGAGGATCCATTGATCTCACGAAAATGTATGTAAAATTTTGCATGCCATTGACTGTCACTTAGGAGTGCTGTGGTTGCCTGTAACAGACACAACAATGGTTGACGTAGAGAACCCTGCAGAGTCTGGCCACCACTATGGCTTAAATAAGCAAATGGCTTATCTTTCTCATGTAATAAGTCTAGAGGCAAGCCACCAAGGCTGCACGTTTGTTCAGGGAAATCATCAAGATCCAGACTCCTGGCATGTGGCTTTCTCCTAGTGATCCCAACACAGCTACTCTATCTCCACGTGTTACATCTGCTTTCTAGGAAGGGGAAAGGGCAGAAGTCAAAAGTGGTGCCAACTGGGAAAGCTGGTAAAGTCACAGCTTTTCCAAAAGCCCCACCTGATAGATTACCATGTTGATCTAATTGGCCAGCACTGTATTGGTGGCCAACTTGTCCTACAAGAAGGTCTTGGAAATCAAGTTTTATAATTGAGTGACCCAAACTGAGATCCTATTAATAAGGCAAAGGAGTGAATGGGTAGGTAGAGACAACTGTCAGTATTTGCCATGATATGTATGTGAATTTTTTTTTTTTTACATTGCCAAAAATGTCTTTAAGGAAGGAGTTAATTTTGAAGAGAATATAGAATGAGGAAAGCCAGAGACAGGGAAGTTGCAGGAGGAAGGACGTGTGCGAGTGTAGGGGTGATGGCAAGCAGGCTCTGTGGGGCAGGACAGAAGGTGCAGCCACTGCTCCTTCCTTGTCTGGCACCAGGACCCTCAAGCCCAATGGACTGAGCTTCTGCTTCCTGCTGCCCTCCTCCCCACCTCCCTGCTAAACAGAAGTGTCCCAGTGACATTGGCATGGTCACAGGCCCAGGACCCAGCCTAAGGCTGGCGACACCCCTCTTTTCCCTCAGGCCTTGGTAGTGGAGCCTGGACCCCCAACTCGAGCCCCAGCACTGGAGCAAGCACTCAAGGACCCTAACTCTCTAGGACGAGAACTGGCCCAGGTGCCCCAGCCCATCTCACTTTCTCTCCATCCTTCTCTTCTCTGGATGCAGCAAGTAAACTGAACATCGGCTCTCCATTCCAGGAGCAACAGAGACCATCCCAGAAGACCCCGGGGGTCCGTATCCACACTCTGCCATGTCTCTGTGTCTGTCTTTCCGAGGCAGATGGAAGATGGGGCAGAAGAATTCATTGGGGGGCTCCTCGCAGTTCCCCAAGCAGGACTACAAGGCCCTGAGGGAAAGGTGCCTGATGGAAGGCCGCCTCTTTGAAGATGACAGCTTCCCGGCCAGCCTGTGCTCTGTGGGCAGCGGGCCCCTATTGCGGAAGCTGCCGCCCGGCCTGCAGTGGAGAAGGCCTCCGGTAAGGGGGGAGTTGTGGGGAAGCATCCCCTCAACACACACACACACACACACACACACACACACACACACACACACCAAGTCAACCCAGACCAAAGAATGGTGGAGTATTCCAGATGCAGCATCTTACTCACTGTCATTGATTTTCATGTGAGGGGAATGGGGGAGTGCCCACATTCCTATTTTCCAGATGGAGAAAACCAGGGGTGATGCTGAGAGGGGTCTGAGGTGTGTCTCTCCCTCAGCTCCTCCCTGGAAATACACTGGGCATCTGTGGCCAAAGTACTGTCTGACCTCATCTAAGATGGTAGGACGCCCTGAGTCTCTGCTGAGGCCATCTGCAAAGAGACACATTTTCACATATTTTCACTCCCAACCCCAAAGTCAGGCCCATGGAACACGTAAATTAAGAAGCTATTAATCACTTTACAACAATGTTCTTCACTTTATAAAGTGCTCTGATGGTTCTCCTTTAAAAGGCGACTTAATGTGTTCAAAGACAGTCTGGCCCCCTCCAAACTTGATTTACACAAACAATTTCCCAGTCACATCTATAACAAAGTAAAGTCAGTGTGTGCTACAAATTCTCTACTCTTCTGTGCCCGTCCAGACTTCTCATCAAAGTCTGCAGCCCCAGACCAAGTCCCTTCTGTGCATAAGATTCCCAAGTGGGCTTCCCAATCTAGAGAGCAGCCAAGATTCTACTTTTCCCAGAAAGTTTGGAAACTGCTGACATAGAGTCTGTCATATACCTGACCTCAGGAGAGCTGTGCCAGTGCAGAACCCCAGGGGTTTGGTGCTTCCCATGAAGCACAGACCACCCCTCCCCACCTCCCACCACCACCTTGCCCCATGTCTCAGCATAGAAAGGCAAAGAAACCATTATTTTGGAGGGTGGGGTGGGAAGGCGTGGGACGACAGTGAGGAGAATGTGAAGATCTCTAGGAAAACATGAGAACACCTTCCAAAAGACATACTTCCATTTTAAACAGAAGCTCTAAGAAAAGGCATTGTGGGTACAAGCCCTGTACCTCAGTGCCCACACAGAGTTCTCCAGGACTCCGGCTTATGTGGGCTGCAAAAAGGAGTGAGAAGTACAGTGGGCTGAACCCATATGCCAGATTGCCTGGGCCAGCCCTGCTTTCACATGTATCCTATATCTATATCCCCATAAGTCCAGTCCTGGGGTATGGGAAACTACAGTCGCTGTAGCTCCAGGAACTTCTTGGTCAGAAGGATGATTCCGTCTGTCACTGCAGGAGCTGCACAGCAATCCCCAGTTCTATTCTGCTGACACCAAAAGGCTGGACCTGTGCCAGGGAGTGGTAGGTAAGTCTGCACAGCCCCTGGAGACATAGGCCTGGCACCTGCGAGCCTGGCCCAGCCCAGAGTGAGGGTGGGGAAGAGGAGAAGTGAGAGATCCCAATGGGGGAAAATGGCCACCCTGAACTTCACCTTGAAGTGCTGTGGCCTTGCTGGGAAAATGATAACAGCTGGTCCTCTGAGGATGTATGGGAACGCCCAAACTTGCCTAACAATAACCCTCATTACCAGTTGACAGGTGTAAGTTTTGTCTTGGGAGAATGTGCTCTCTCTACTCTAGTCCCCTTAATGAGTCCTTTTCAGCACACCAGTCACTAGATACCCCAGATAGAGTCCAAGTAAGCCCATTCTCATCCCAACTTTCCTTTTAGGGGAATAGAAAAAAAAAAAAAAAAAAAAAAACCTTGGCCACTGGGGAAGGGAAATGTAGTGATACCCATTTCACAGACAGAAAAATGGAGTCCAGAGAGAGCTGAGGCTTTCTCAGGAGAACATAAATCACTTACAGAGGTAGGACTTTAGAAAAGTTTGGTTGTGTTTGGGTCCAAGTTCCTGAGGATGTGGCATTCAGGAAGCCAAAAGCTGGTCCAGGAATCTGACTCGATTCTTGGTGTCAAGTTGAGATTCCAGCCAATGCCCCTCTCCACCTCCTCCTCACTAACTGTCTTCCTCTGAGTAGATCTTTCCCTTCTGTGAGACTAGGCTACAAGTCCAGAGAGGATAGCAATTGGGACTAGGCATTTCTTACATGTGATAAGTCCTCAATAGATTCATGCAGACACTTGTAGAATGTGCCTGAATGTGTGGTACATCCATGCAGACACTGTACTCTCTGGCCTAGGTGACTGCTGGTTCTTGGCTGCTTTGCAAGCTCTGACTTTGCATCAGGACATCCTGAGCCGTGTCGTTCCCCTGAATCAGAATTTCACTGAGAACTATGCCGGCATTTTCCAGTTCTGGGTGAGTATCCTCCTGGTGTCCCAGCCCAGAGGAAGCCATAGGAAAGAAGGTTCTTGGAAGAGTCATGCCTTTGCCTCCTGAGCTGACTGCCTTCCATGGCAATCTTTACTCACCAGTGGACACTTTCTCCTTCCAGTTCTGGCACTTTGGGAAGTGGGTTCCTGTGGTGATAGACGACCGACTTCCTGTGAATACAGCTGGCCAGCTGGTCTTTGTCTCTTCCACTTACAAAAACGTGTTCTGGGGAGCTCTTCTGGAAAAGGCCTATGCTAAGTAAGACAACCACCAGAAATTTTTTCCCTTCCCTTCCCTTCCCTTCCCTACCCTTCCCTCCCCCACTCTCTCTTTCTGTTTCTAACTCATCAATGCTGGGAGAGTGCAAGAGGAAGGAGGTACAAGAGACACTGAGGCATGGCTCCTTGAATATAGAAGTGATGTATCCAGAATCTCTTATGTAGACTTTTCCCCATCTGAACAGGCAGTCAGGAATTTTGTCTTTTCCCTAATGGATGGAGTTATTTAACAAGGACAGGAAGTCAGAGTGTAGATTTTCCTTTGCCCCGGGGATGGAAGGAAGGAGTAACAGGTGCATGCCCAGAGAAGAACCAAACAGGGGGTTCACTAGACTCACTTGGATCATCCTAGGCTACAATACAAATGCCCCTTCCCCTCTCCTCCCATGTTTACTCCTTCCCCGGGCAGGCTGTCTGGCTCCTATGAAGACTTGCAGCGTGGACAGGTGTCTGAAGCACTTGTGGACTTCACTGGAGGGGTGACAATGACCATCAAGCCGGCAGAGGCCCCTGGCAACCTCTGGGACATCCTCACCTGGGCCACCTACAGCAGAACCCTCATTGGCTGCCAGACACACTCAGGGGTGCGAGTGGGTTGTGTGCTGGCAGAATGTCCTCTCCTGTTCCCATCCCCTTCATCCACCAACACTTCTCTCCTCACCTCAGTGTGGGCCCTGACACTCCCACCCAGCTCCTACACCTAGAGTCCTGATGTTCAAACCAGAGCGGCCTTGCAGAACCCTCGGGGTGGGCAAGGCCACAGTAGTATGCAGACGGCATGCAGACAAGGGTGCTGACAGTGACTAAGTATCACCCAGGGGCAAGATGCTTTACTAGCACAACTGGTCTTTACTGCCTGATTTAGTAACAACCAAAAACTTCTAACTAGAGTAGGGAGCTCTGGGTTCAGCCCTGCCTCCAGGAGCAACTGCCATGCCACCCCACGTGATGGTTTAGCAGCTCTGAATCTGAGTTTGTCCTGTGTACAATGGGATGGGGCTCGCTGCAGAATGGCACCCTGATTTAGAGGCTCTAATGAGACTGTGGGTGCCGAAGAGCTTTGACCACTGTGAGGACACAGCGTGGGTCTCTCCCAGCCCTCCCCTTAAGCCCTTGCTTTGACCACACAGGTCCCTATGACCCCCACATAAACCGTTAGCAGTGGGCTGACAGGAGTTCTCTTGTCTCCACAGAAAGAGAGGGTGCTGGAGAACGGGCTGGTGGGCGGCCATGCCTATACCCTCACAGGAATCAGAAAGGTGGGTGGAACCAGCCCCTTTCTTTCTCTTCAGGCCCCTCTCCTTCTCTCCCAAGGCTTCTCAGCAAGGCTCCAGTGCGTGTTATTATTTGTGCCCAGTCTACAGAGGCAAATTGTCTGATGGGTTTTCCAGGCCTGCTAAAGCAGGTGGTGGGTGCCCTGCACCTGTGCACCTGTGTTCTGGAGTGATGGGCTGGGTCTGGCCTTTACCACCTATGGGGCACCATCCCAGTCCCTCTTGCCCTGTGGCAGCCCAGCCGATCAGCCATCCAGCCCTGCTGGACTCCACCCCTTCCTTGAGACCCCTTCACTCTGGGCTGCCACTGATGACCTTCATATCTGGGGCTTCCCACCCAAATTCTTACTTCTTTCTCAGAAGTTCCTTTTTGTCAACCTCTCAGGTTCTTTTCATTGCTATTCATCTTTCTTCCCCCATTGAGGGCAAGATGAATCAGACAGGGTCCCTGCCTACACAGAGCTTATAGTCAGGTGTGGAGACACATCATATGCAAGAATGGTAAGGAAGCAAAGTCAAAAGTTGGGGGGCCGATAGAATAGACAAAAGGATTTCAAGGTTCAGAGGGAGGAGAGAAGACATTCTCCTGATTGGGTTGGGGGAAGTCAGAAAAGACTTCACAGAGGAGGTGACATTGACCTGGCCCCTGAAGGGTGGCTGGTGAGGGCACTCCTGGTGGAGGAGGCCACACAGAAAAGCATGCAGGTAAGAAATCCACCGGTTCAGTCTTAAACACCCTCTGATGTCCCCTGGAGGGCCTGATGTCCCCAAGTCCCTGATTCCCTTTAACTGTTTTAAATTTCTTGAACTCCACTGCAACCTGACTTCTTCCTCCTCCCAGATCTGCACCAGTCATGTGTGTGTGTGTGTGTGTGTGTGCATGCCAAGAGCTTTAATAAGTTAAAGGACTTATTTTCATAGTCCTTTAACAAAACTTAGATTTTTATGTCACTGTGCTGTTGCAGAAGAATGAGAAGTGCTTCATGCAGTGCCTCAGAAAATCTCCAGAACACTGTTGAGTAGAAAAAGTGAGGGACAGGAGAATTTATATCGTATGCTACTTTTTCTTTAAGAAAGAAAGGGCAGTAGGGGCGCCTGGGTGGCTCAGTCGGTTAAGTGTCTGACTTCAGCTCAGGTCATGATCATGTGGTTCATGAGTTTGAGCCTCTCCTCGGGCTTTGGATTCTGGGTCTCTGTCTTTCTCTGCCCCTCCCCCACTCATGCTCGGTCTCTCTCTCAAAAATAAACATTAAATTTTTTTTAAAAAGGCAATAATAATATATATTCATATTTGAATACAGAAGCATTCAAAGTGTTTGGAAGGAAGCATGGCTGGAAATGGAGAGGTCTAAGTAGGCAAGAGACTACTTAATACAGCGCTTTTCATATAATTTTTGTTTTGAACCATGTGTTTTTACCTGTTAAAATCCATTTAAACAGGGGCGCCTGGGCGGTTCAGTCAGTTAAGCGTCCGACTTAGACTCAGGTCATGATCTCACGGTTCGTGGGTTCGAGCCCCGCGTCGGGCTCTGTGCTGACAGCTCAGAGCCTGAAGCCTGTGTCAGATTCTGTGTCTCCCTCTCTCTCTGCCCCTCCCCCACTCGCGCTCTGTCTCTCTCTGTCTCAAAAATAAATAATAAACATTAAAAAAAATCCATTTAAACAAATGAGATGTAGTCGACTTGACATTTCATTGATTGATGTTCAGTTTCTTTAGTTGATAATTACACCCTGCTTATGCAAACTGTTAACAGTAGGGAAGGGCAGGGTGAGGTCAATAAAGAAACTGTATTATTTTTGCAGCTTTTCAGTATAGCAGTTACATGTTTATACCTATGTTTTGTTTCATGTTTATTTAACATATGTAACAAAATTTAGCACTTACTCTGCTCTAACTAGTGTCCTAACTGCTTTACAAATGTTAACTCAATCCTTACAACAACCCTGGGTGTGGGCATATTAGCCAAGTGGGGCTGCCATAAGGAATCACCACAAATCGTGTGGCTTCAGACAATAGAAATGTATTCTTTCCCAGTTCTGAAGCCGGCAGTCTGAAAATCAAGGGGTCATGAGAGCCTCTGAAGGCTCTGGGGGCAGATTTTTTCTCACCTTTTCCAGCTGATGGTGGCTCCCAGCTTCCTTAGCTTGGAATGCAGAACCCAATCTTTCCCCCCATCTTCACATGGCCTTCTCCTCTGTGTCTTTCCCCCTCTCCTTCCCTTCCCTAGTCACTAGATTTAGGATCCACCCTCATCCAGCGTGATTTTATCTCGAGATCCTTAATTTAATTACATCTGCAAAGAGCCTTTTTCTAAATAGGATCACCCTGACAGATTTCGGGTAGACTGGACTTTTGGAGGCCACCATTCAACCCATTGCAGCGAGATGTGACAATTAGCTTTACTTTACAGATGAGGGAACACAGAGGTTAAGGAACTTGCCATAGGTCTCAGCAGCTAAGAAGCAACAGAGCCTTCTTCTCTTCTCTTAACCCTCAGCGCCTTTAACCTTCCCTTTCAAGGTCTCATCTGGCAGGCACAAGTCCCACCCAGATATCCGCAACATTTGCATCTGGCACTCAGCCCAGCCACCTAAATTGCAACTCCTTTTGCACAGGTGACCTGCAGACACGGACCAGAATATCTAGTCAAGCTGCGGAACCCCTGGGGCAAAGTGGAATGGAAAGGGGACTGGAGTGACAGGTGAGCACCTGACACCAGCTGCCAGGGGCCAGGAGGGGGCGGGGCAAGCCAGCAAAGGAGCTGGCCGCCTGCACACAAATTCACAAGTGTTCTCTTGGGCTGACAGGGGAGCTTTCAGATTGTGAAGGTCAAGCTCTCACATTCATGAGATGCTTAATGATATATAGATTGTGTTCTCATTCATTATAATAATTGAGCTAATGTTTATTGAGAGCTTGCCAGCCCTGTGCTAAGCGGCTTTGAATATTTTTTTTTCTCCCTGCCCATGTTTATTTTTTTATTTATTTGGAAGTAAAAATTGCACTTACTTCACATGTGCGGAAGTCTCCCCTATTTGCATATTTCCACCAAGCACTTTGAATTTTCATTACCTCTAGTCCTCTGACCAATGCTCTTGTAAGGTAGGGCGTTTTATCCCCATCTTACGGATGAAGATGTTGATGAGTTAGCGAAGGAATTCCTCAAGGTCTCTCAGCATGACTCGAGCAAGGTGTTTGGAGTCTAACCCAGTGTTCTTTTCCTGGTTCAGTGTGCTCTTGAGCCTGCTGAGTCAGAGGTAGACGATCTGGATTGGCCTCAACCTTCTGGTGACCAGTCATGACCTCTGGGCTTTCCGCTATTATCGCTATTACCGGAATGTGATTCCCTGTGTCACCCTCCAGGTATTTAGTTTTGGGCGGAGTCTAGGTGAAACTGGTCTAGGTGACATTGTTCCCCTTCTCTCGGGGTCAGAACCCTATGCTGCCTGCAGTCTAACATCTGAGAACAGGTTTTTTTGTTTGTTTGTTTTGTTTGTTTCAATGTTTTTTCCCATTTTTAGTTGTTTATGGTGGGGAATTGACGCAGGGAAGCCTTAACTCCTTCACGGTCAGCAATGGAAGTTCAGAACCATGGGCTTTGAAAATACAGAGTACCAATGTAGGCTCAAATACTCTCAGACATTTCATAACTTTGTGACTTCTGGAAAGTGAATTAATCTCTTTTAACCTCTGTTTCCGAATGTGTAGAACGGCAATAAAAATTGTGGTCAGCCTTATATGAGAGAAAGTATGTCGAGAGCCTGGCCCAGAGCTGGGGGCACAGTGAGGGATGAGTTAAGGTTACGTGTTACTTTTATAAAGCAGGACGTGAGGTGTGGTTGTCTGCAAAGCAGCATGAAGATGAGGTAAATAATGACATGGCAGAGGATTTACTAAAGCATCTCTGCCACGTCCTCTGCAACCCTTTCATCCCCCCACCCCAGAAACATCCCTTTTCTATTTTCAGCTCGGGTATGTGGGAGCTACTGAGCCCCAAGGAGAAGATTTTGCTCCTGAGGAAAAGCAATGACGGAGAATTCTGGTATCTGACTCGGGGACTCGAGACAAACACCCTAGCTTACATTTGGGTACCCAGCCTATTTATCGGGTGCCATGTGTATGCCAGGCACCTCTTGTGTAGAGATCAAGAAGACCCACTAGGGGCCCGCAGTCTAGTGGGCAAACAGCCCCTGCAAACGGTCACAGTCTCTACAGTGAGACCTGTGACCACTGGTGTGGGGCTCAGTGGACCCTCAAAGCAGAGCAGAGGGCTGGCTGGCCACCTCCTTCTGTGCTCTGTCTCAATGCACTCAATCCTGAGGTTTTGCCTTTCCTGGCCTGAAAGGAAGATGAGATTATAAACTCTGAGCCATCTCACTTGCACCCCCCAGAGCGCCATGACATCACTGCCACCCTCCCCAAAGCCACTCACCCCTTTTTTATGAAAAGCCACCAAGACACCCTGAGCTAATATGGTTTCTGGGTGTCTGACATGAGCCCCATTTGTTCCCTTTGCCCTTTGCTTTTTGCCCTTACTCTTAACTTCCACCCTTGTTCCCACGGGCCCCCTTCTCCCATTCTGCACCCGTTCTAGACCGCTGCGACCCCTCTTTCTTTGGAAGTCATCACTGAACTGCAAAGCCCTGAAAATACTATTATTTCCACTTTACAGATAAGTAAACTGAGCATCAGCCAGTTCGGCTAGCACGCTTTGACCCACAAAGTTGGCAAGTAGGGGCTAAGAATTTTTCAATTTATAATTGAGAACCGACTTGTGCAAATATTATCAAACATTTGTATCTTAATTGGCTAGTTATGAGTGCCTCAGTTCAGCTTTATCACCACAATCCGCGAAACAGGAACATTGCCGCCAGGCACCCATTGTGGGAGGCTGCTTGCAGCCACGGGTAGGGGGCAGGAGCGTGGTACATCACCCCCGATGCACCCTCACGCTGATCTAGCCAGCTGTGCTCTCCTGTGTCCAAGGCCAGCTCAGCAGGGTGTGGTGTGGGGCTGGGGCTGGTGGGGCAGCTTGGTTCCAGCCCCCACTCTGGTCCTGATGGGGAGACGTCATACTATTCCCTCTTCCTCTCCACAGGATGACACTGAAGGACTTTAAAACACATTTCATGCTTCTGGTCATCTGCAAACTGACCCCGGGCCTGCTGAGTCAGGATGTAGGCCAGAAGTGGACATACACCATGCGGGAGGGAAGATGGGAAAAGGGGATCACGGCCGGTGGCCCGATGAAGTCACCCCGAGGTAAGCACGCGCACAGGAGCCTGGGCCCTTGGGGCTAATGTGGCAGCTTGGCCAGCAGGGGTGGGGATGCGGACAGAGCTGCTGGGGATGGTGGTGAGGCCCTCACCCTGCACGGGCCATCTGGCTGAGGCGTGGAGGGACTTCACTGACCGAGCTGTTTGCTCTGGCCCTGGGCTGTGTCCTCCTCGGCACACATGCCGCAGTAAAAGGGTGGCTTAAATCTTTGATTTTAGGACAAGGTCATTTCCATGCTGAAATAACCACCCTTTCTTTCTTTCTTTCTTTCTTTCTTTCTTTCTTTCTTTCTTTCTTTCTTTCTCTTTCCTTCTTTCTTTCTAAATCTTTATTTGTTTTTAAGAGAGAGAGAGAGAGAGAGAGGGAGGAACAGAGAGAGAGGGAGATACAGAATCTGAAGCAGGCTCCAGGCTGTCAACACAGAGCCTGATGCAGGGCTCGAACTCACGAACTGTGAGATCATGACCCAAGCCGAAGTCGGACACTTAACCGACTGAGCCACCCAGGCGCCCCGAAATAACCACCCTTTAAAGGCAGGAGTGAAATGGTAACTTTATCATCTGTATCGGCCCCTTCTTGCCTATGGTTTTGGTAGTGACATAACATCAAGGATTCCTAGCTCACCGGTTACAGGGGGCAAACGTGTCTGAACTCTCCAAGTGGAGAGGTTTGGTGACTGTGTCCCTTTCTCCACAATGGAGGTGCTGAGCCATCTCTTTGGAAGGAAAGACCCATGGGTTACGGTCTCAGCCGGCCAGGCGCCCTTTGCTCCGGCTCCCCCCTCCTGCCAGAGAGGTCTGCCCCAACGCTCAAGCTGCCCTTCAGCTAAGGCTTGGTCCGTGTTAAAATGCAAACCTCCCTGAGGTCATGGACATGTTCTCCTCCATTCATGAATGCAGTCACTTCATCGGGCAGTGAGTGTGCTGGGTGAAGGGGCTATAGCAGTGAGAATACTCCGGTCTGCATGTCTATGGCAGAACACGGGGTGAGGAGGTGGAGTGGGAGGGTGGATAGAGGGGAGGCTGAGAACCCGACTCTGTCCACATGGACCTCTGGGTGGCAAGCCCAGGGGAGGTGCTCTGGGTCTGTGGGAGCCAGAGGCTAGGGGTGTGGGGAGGCCTGACCCACCTCTCTGTGTTCTGCTACAGACACATTCTGGAAGAACCCGCAGTTCCTGCTGTCTGTCTGGAGCCTTCAGGAAGACAGGAGGTTCCCTATGCCCTGCAGCGTGCTGGTGTCCCTGCTGCAGAAGCCCAGGCACAGGCACCGCAACTGGAAGCCTCACCTGGCCATTGGCTTCTACCTCTTTAGGGTAGGTGGACCTCGGGGGCATGTGGCCTCGCGGGGTGTCTCCCACCACTGGTCATCCTTTCTTCCATTTCCCGACTTCCTCCCCATCTGCTCTGTCTACAAACAGACCTGGGTGCAGGCTTTGTCTCCATCCCTTAGGAATATGTCATCTGGAACAAGTCACCTCCTTGCCCCTGAGCGTCAGCTTCCTCTGTAAAGTGAGGACGATGATATTTATGCAAAGGGTAGAGTAAAAGAACATCACGCACCAGGGCTTTATTGTGGTGCCCGGCACGCAGTTTCTATAATCAGTACTGGTGGCTGGTGTTCTTTTCCTCTCCCAAGGAGCCAAGGTTGCCTTCCCTCACCCTTTTCCAGAATTCTTGATGATGGATTAAAATGTCCCTGACTAGAACAGCAAGTCTTAAGGGAGGGAAGGGGGCCTCTGGCTAGAGCCTCCCTATACATCAGCCTCCGTCACTTAGGGCTTGTGCAAGAGTTGGATTCCTGCCTAATGAGGTCTCTCTTTTTTTGTGTGTTTCAGTTGAGCAAGGTGAGTTCCACACTTGACCAGCTGGCCCTGGTTTGGAGTGATGTCACCCGTGAGGTTCAGCTTGACCGTAGCAGCCTTACATAAGGAGCTACTAGGATGTCTGGCAAAAATGCTGGCTGCCCGTGTGTGTAGAAGAAATGAGTGCTTGACAAGGACCCTGAGAAATCCTTCTGCATCTATAGGGAGGTCTCCGAGCCTGGTGCAGAACCAATAAATTTTAGAATTTATTAAATTCCTACAGAAATAGCTAGAGGCTGTCACAGCATAGGGACAATGGTAATCACATCCTTGCCTGAGTTTTGAAGCTCATAATAAAACAGATCTATAACATATGGGACATTGGGAGACCATGCAGCCCATCTCCTTGGAGACAAGGGGCAAAGGCTCGGGAAAGTGGGACAAAAATCCAGGCAGAGGGCAAGAACCACTCTGTCCCTTACCTGCAGTGGCAGCCTAGAAGGATCAATTAAGGTTTGAGGTATCCCAGCCTCCAAAAGGGTGGGAGCTATTGTTTTGTTTCCCAAAGAAACAGGAGTGGAAAACTTAATTATTTGACATTAAACTGATTAAACTGAATTAAACTGATTTTTTTTTTTTTT